AAATCTGATACCTACAGGCATGGTGAGTGCTCACTCAGAGCCTTGCTGTGAAGCCACAGGTGGAAGTGGCAATCCTGGGTCACCCTTAGCCTTGGTGTTATCCCTCCACCTACCAGTGCACACCGTGGACAGCCTGGTATACAGAGGGATAGGTACCTTGAGATGCCCAGGTTGGAGTCATTTGCTTGGCAGAACCTCCTTTGATTGCTTGCTATTCTTCTCATTACTGCTATATCTGGGAATGTTTTTATCTACAAAGGGTCCAACAACCTCTATTATCAGGGCTGTTCTTTACCCAGGCCTGATAAGGGCCAGTGTTGTTAGTGTTGGAAGCTGTTGAGAAAGAAGAATCCTGCCAAGAGTTGCCAAACATTTTACCAATTACAGAAATTGTCCAGGATCCTAAATTTCTTTATTTTCCGCTACAGTACAGTGAAATGCTCTTCCCAAGAGTTCTCAGAATCTCAGAAGTTGAGAGGTTTTCAGAATGGTTCTGTTTTATTGGTACCTCCTCCAACACATGATTATCTCAGAGAAGTAGGAGCCAGAGTAGCCCACTGAACCAACAGAGGCTGGGAGAATACCTGACCCTGGCTGGGTCTGCTTTCTTCTGGTTTTCCCTGTTGCCATCATTCTATTAGAACCTTCCACCTTTACAGGGACCATTAGTACAGAGTAAAACTTGTGTTTTTTACTCAGTTTTGTAAGAAACACAGCAATGGTTCTTCTTCTGTACCCTCCACTCCCCACCCTAACATGCACAAAAGCAAAGAGCTCAAGGGTCTCAAGCCAGCATTTACTAAAGCTCTGTATTTTCCAATGTAAAATCCTTTCCTAGGATAACTTCTCTTATCCCCTAAGGGAAACTTCTCACCAAGGAAGCCATGGGTGACCAGGCCCTCTTGACTCATTGCTTAGTCTGAGGGCTTCTGTTTGCTTCAAAGTAGAAGACACAGTGTTCATCCACTCATCCACTTATCAGTGGGTTTCTCCGAAGTTCATGGTACTCTGCTATGCAAGAGATATGGAAAACAGCAATCTGCCAAGCTCCCTAACTTCTCTCCTTGGTTTTGTTCCAGGTGAGGGCTTCCACAACTACCACCACTCCTTTCCCTATGACTACTCTGCCAGTGAGTACCGCTGGCACATCAACTTTACTACATTCTTCATTGACTGCATGGCTGCCCTTGGTCTGGCTTATGACCGGAAGAAAGTGTCCAAGGCTGCCATCTTGGCCAGGGTTAAAAGAACTGGAGATGGAAGCTACAAGAGTGCCTGAGTTGTGGGTTGTCCAGATTTCATTTCTAAAGCCATCTGGGCAGAAGTTTAATGTTATGTTAATAACTACTGAGATGTATTACCAGATGCTAAAGTTGATGACCTTAACCCATTCCAGTATTGTATTCTTTTAAAATGCAAAAGGTTTGATAACTTTTTTAGGTAGTGCATATTTTAATCAGTAAGATATAAACATTTCTCAATACATACGCTTCCAAACATGTTGCACACTGTAAATACATACATTTTTACATGTCATTTTAAAAAATTATTAATAAATTCTAAAAAAAACCAAAAAGAGTATTTAAAACAAACAACTCAACTATTATGATAGTACTTTGCTAAACTTATTTCTTCTCTCTACTCTTTCTGTTGTTCTTTGCTTTGTTTGTGTTACCTTCCTTTCTCTTCCTTTTTATAGCCTCCTAACCAACCGATGTTCGGCCACTGGTCTGTGTCACCTTCCAAGCCTAGGCATAATTTCAGGCATCTAAACATAATGATCACTGCCCCAGATAACTCTTTCCTCAATATGTCCTCAGACTCAAGGTAGGTAACTCAAGCTAGACATACAATAAAACCTTCTGAGACATCCTCTGCTAATTATCTTCAGTCTAGGCTTTGCTAGATGGAATAGAGAGATAGCTTGATTTGGCATACAGCTGAAGAGCAGGTATATCATCAGGAAGAGAGATAGTATGAAGAATATGATTTATAAGGATGGTGTTGATATGGGAAAAGAGAAAACAGGAAGCTTTTACAGGGATCAGACCCTGCCTAGCACAGACACTGAGCCCCTTCACACAGCATTTTTCCTGTCTCTCCTGACTCAGTTATGGAGTTTGATGATAGGAAACAACAGCAAATCAATAACTAAGAATAAAGAAGCATTTGTGTAGTTGTAAGAGTGGTCTCTCCTGGAGAAGGACTTTATTTTTTGTTAATAACAAGAAGATGTCTTACTTCATGGGATTATATTTCAGGTTGGATGTGTTCAATACAACATTACAGCAGCTCAGAGTTTTGAAGATACAATTGGGCCAAACTTAAAAATAAACTGACATAAAATCTTTAATTGAAACATGCAAATGTTTCACTTAGAGTATTACCTCTGAAAAAGAAACTAGAAGTAAAGAAAGAATTTTCTGGGTGGTCTGTTCATTTCACAGATGGACAGGAGATGGAAAAGTTGAGGGACAGCTCTTGTAGGCAGCTATAAGAGATCACTTCCCAAAGGAAGGACTCCAATGGCACATCCAGGGGAGTCAGAAGTTACATAGTAAGGTATTAAGTGTCCTCATGAAATAAGTTTGATGTTAGCTTCATTCATTAGTCTCAGTTTCTCTTAGGATTGAGTGAAAACTAGGCTTCTTCCCACAGTGTTGGACCCCTTCACTCCTTGTTCTGTGACCAGTCTACAAATGCAGGACTGTCTGGGGGACAGGTAGGAATAAATCTCTTAACCACCCTGATTCTGGATTCCTGGCTCTACCTCAGCCGTCTTTTTTCTCTTACCAGTGATGTCTGTTCCCTGACATTTTCTTTTCTCTGGACAGGCAGCCTCCTGTGTATATTTAGGGCAGAGAGGACTTGCTGTCCAGGCGGCTTTCTCCTGTAGACACAATGCTCATTGGCACCAGCCCTGTGTCTCTTCAGCAGGTAGAGTTGACTGCCAGTTTCCTGTGGCCTCCAGATCCTCTTCATCTCCACCACAGTGAGTGTACCCCACTCTGACTGCTCTAGGCAAGGCTGGCAGACACTTTAGAAACATCTTTGTCTTGAAGAGGATCCCTTTCATGAGGCATAGCCAAGGCCAGTGCTCACATTTTTCCATTGAGCTGGCCACAGTAAAAAATGGCTTGTTGTCAGTCTCCTCTGGGTCAGAACAGAGAGTGTTCAGCAAAGCAACTTGGGTTAATTGGTGTATGCAGCTAATGGTGCAATACTTTCAAAAAGAAGAAGCGGAAACAGTCTTCTGGGAAGTACAAAAAGGGGGGGCAGTTCCCAAGTGCAACACATTGAAAGGAGTCCCTGCCCTGAAACCAGGATCTGCTGGAAAGCTTGGGCTAAGACGTGGGATCTGAGATGCCAGGAACTTTGTTGAACATTGTATATATTTTTAGAACCTGGGACCTTTCCTGTCCCTGTTCCTCAGTCATCAGTGCAGAAGCCTAACTCTGCTCTTTAGGATTGGCAGCATACAATACCAAATGCTGTTAACTGTTGAGGCCTAGTGGTGTGAGAGAGCAGGACCTTCCTTCCTGTGTTAGTTGTATAGAAGCTATAGGGGCCAGCCTGCACTAAGGCAGCCTTGTCTTTGAGCTGTTCATTAAAGTAAAAAAGAACTTTATAGAAGATCTCTGTAGATCAGATCTACTGACCTGTACCTACCCCTGGAAATGTCTCTTGGCTGATTTTTATTCTATTGGACATCAGATGCCTGCTTTATGATACATGAAGAGCAAACTCAACTTTCTTTTCTAGTCCTGTTCCATGGAACTGATCCATGCAATGTTCATACACAAATGATACAGACCCCAGGTTGAGGACTGCAGCATATATGTGGGTATGTAGTAGGTAGAGGCATGCCAGTATAGTGAACAACACTTCTTAAGGTTCGAAGCATCAATTCAAGTAACACAATAATGAGAAACTCTGCTCTTAGCAAGAGTGAGTTTCTAATGGTCCTTACCTTGTGGACATGTTGAAAACTGATTTCTGTGCCTTATCCTTTTTCTAACCCATGTTGCAGGTGAATCTGCCCTCACACTCTTTGAGTAGTCCTTTACTCCTTGAGAGACTATAACAGTGGCCAGTATCAATAAGAGCCTGCCTGGTGGGTTATCAGCAAAGGTATTTGCAGGATTCCTTTCTGGGCTTCATTTTGGAAATTTATGGCTGTTTTTATTAAGTGTTCAAATATGATGGTGGGTGGAAGTAGTTTGAATGTATTTATTATTCTTTAAATGAAATAATGGTGGTAGCACATAAAATAGAAAGTTTCTCCTTGGTTTATTAATATCCTGTGTGTAGTTTCTGAATAGATAGTACAAATAGGCTAGTTTGAAGGGTAAATGAAGTAAGGCAACTGTGTTACACTGGTGGCTAAGATCTTGGCCTCTCTTGTCCCTGTTTTACCAACTTGCTATGTGAGCTTCACTTTTAAACAAACCTATTAATGAGATAAGGTCATTAATCCAGAACCTTCTCAGAAGTCCCATCTCTGAATCTGCTACATTAGGGATTAAGTTTCCAATACATGAACTTTAAGGGACACACTGAAATCATTGCACCAGGCAAGTCATTGAACCAGGCAAGTCACGTAACTATAATGTGCCTCACATTTCCTTTTGTTCAAATGGAGTAATAATACTGACCTACCTCTTAGGCAGTTTAGAGGTTTGACTAAAACTTTTTATTAAGCCTTTGAGATCCTCAACAGAGAAATTCTCAAGCCCTGCAGACTTTTATAGTAGCAGTATCCAGTATGAAATTGACATGCATGTATGTCCTAGATACCATCATGGTTCTCTCAAGAGATTGAACGAGAAGTGGTATATAATGAGTCAGACAAAAACTGAGAATGCATTATCATTGCCATGAAAACATACACAGGATACATTTTCCTTATCTGGGTGGGTTTTTCTTCTTTTTATGTATGTAGTTATTTGTAACCGAAGAATAATTTTTATAATATCAACCCCAAAGCTAGTGGTACTGACCTGAGATTGTGTTTGTTATTAATAAAAGTGAAGTGAATCTGATTGCACTGTGTCTTGGAGCTTATTGGCTGACGTGTAGTCTCCTGGGACCTGTCTCCGTGGTCCATCGTCATGTATGTGTCCTGTACCTTTAAAAGGAAAAACCCCAAAACAAACAAACAAAAACAGTAGAGTCACATCCCCAGTAATCTGCCCTGCCCTTCCTAAGGGTAATTTATGTTAACTGTTCAGCAATTCTGGGCAGCAGAAAAGAAGATGTCTGTTCCTATTAAATTGAACACCATTTTTTCCCTCATCCCTAGAGGGAAAACAAGGATATTGGGGGGGCGGAAAAAAAGTCCATCAGAACAGGAAAAGAAGAACCATCTAAATTGGACAGAAAGAAGGAAAACTATCTCTTTTTGAAGATGTTATGACATGCACATGGAAAATCCAAAAGAATACACACAACTTTTACTGAAGCTAATAAATTCAGTAATGTTGCAAGATACATTAGCAATATGCAAAAATCAGCTGTATTTCTCTAAACAAGTAATGAACACACTAAAAATGAAACTAAAGAAAGACTTCTATAACAGCATCATAAAGAATAAAATAAATAGAAATAAACTCAACAAAAGAAGTCAACAGTATGGTACACTGAAAATTACAAAATGGTATTGAAAGAAATTGAAGGAGGCCTAAATAAATACAAAGAAAGTCCATGTTAATAGACTGGAAGACTCAGTATTGTTAAGATAATAATATTCCTGAAGCTGATCTACAGATTCAATTTCCACTAGGCGACCAGCACGCTGGTTTCATTAAAGAGGTTCGTGGCATATAAGTTAACTAGTGAGATCAAAATAAAACACACAGACTCAATTACCTTTTTCTATGACCAGGTCCGAAATGGCTCTCACCTCTCTGGCTTTCACCTTGAACCAGCTGGTAGGGCAGCAAGGCTTACTCAGGGCTAGCAGGAGAGAGAGAGAGAGCACGCCAGGGAGTGGCCTTTTATTGGGGAATAAGAAATTCAGGGGAAAATTCCATCCAATGAAGGTTGAGGGGGGCAGCATTCCAAGGTCAGGGTCAGTGATTGGCCTCAGGATCAGTGGTCAGTCACACCCCCACATGGACAGGCTCTCGCACCTGGAGAGGGTAGGGGTAGCTCCGACACAGTTTGGCCAGAATGCCTCACACCCAATCCGGGAGGTGCCCAATCACATGCGAGAATGGCTTCCCACATCAATTGTCATCAAATTCTGACTTTTTAAAAGAAAATTTGACATGCTCATTCTAAAAGTCATAGGGAAATTTGTGGTATTGAGAATAGCCACCAAAAAAAAAAAAAAAAAAAAAAAAAAAACCACCTTGCTATACAAATTCAAAGTTAGAGGACTGATACTTTCTGATTTCAAAATTACTTCTGAGGGTCCATAGTGAAGATAATGTGATATAACACTGGCATATAAACACATAAATCAGTAGAATGGAATTAAGAGTGTAGGTATAAACCCATACATCTAGGGTCAGTTATTTTTTTATAAGAGTATGCAGACAATTCAACAAGGAAAAAATAACATTTTTTAACAAGTGTTGCTGGGATAACTAGATATCTATATGCAAAGGAATGCTGGCCCACTAACTCATACCATATATAAATATTAACCCCAAATGAATCAGCTAATACTACAAAACTCTGAGGAGAAAACATAGATGTAGATACCTATCATCTTGAATTAGACTGTGGTCTCTCAGATATGACATCAAAAGACAAAAAAAAAAAAAAGAAAAAGAGATAATTTGGACTTCATCAGAATTAATAACTGTCCCTTCAAGAGATGCTACCAAAACATTGAAAATGTAACTCACTCAATGGGAGAAAATATTAGCAAATCTTTTATTAGATAAGAGACTAGAACTCAAATTAGAAGAGGAGTACTTACAATTCAACAACAACAAAAAAAACCTAATTTTAAAGGAGACAAAGTGTTTTTGTTAGTTTTTGTAATGATGCATAGTAATTGTATAGAGTTGTGGCAAATTTGTATATGCATATAACATAACTTAATCAACTCCACTCTTCAGTACCTCCCATTATTCTCCTGTCCTCCATTAGATCAAGTATTTGAATACACATTTCTACAAAGAAGATATACAAGTGGCCAGGTGTGGTGGGACATACCTGTAATTCCAGCAGCTTGGAAGGCTGAGGCAGGAGGATTGTGAGTTCAAAGCCAGCCTCAGCAACTTAGCAAGGCACTTAGCAACTCAGTAAGACCCTGTCTCTAAATAAAGTATAAAACAGGGCCAAGGATGTGGCTCAGTGGTTAAGCACCTCTGGGTTCAATCTTCAGTCCAAAAAAAAAAAGAAGATACACAAATGGCCAAAAGCATATAAATAGCCATTGTTAGCCATCATAGAAATACTAATCAAAACCATAATGAGATATCACCTCATACTAACTAGAATAACTATAATTAAAAAAAAAAACAGTTAAGAACAGCTATTGGTGAAGACATGAAGAAATAAGAATTTTCATGATACTAGTGAAAATGTACTTTAAAATGTAAACTCTTTGGAAAAGAGTTTGGCAAAAGGTTTAAAATATACAGGTTCAATATGACTCAGCAATTCTACTTCTGTGAGTATATCTAAGAGAAATAAAAACTTATATTACCCAAAAAATTGTCCATGAATGTTCAGAGTTGCTTTAAATAATAGCCAAAAGTACAAACATCTCAAGTGTCCATAATAAATGAATGGATAAAAGCAATTTGTCAGGGCATGGGATATAACTCACTGGTAGAGTTCTTGCCTAGCTAGCCTGTGCAATGTCCTGGGTTCAATACCTAGTACTGCAAAAATAAACAATGATCCAGCATATTTCATACAATGGAGTATTATTCAGCCATAAAAAAATAATGAAATATAGATCTATATAGATTGATAGATCTATCTATATAGATAGATCTTGAAAGCATTCTGAGACCAAGCAGTCAGATGGAAAAGAACATATTCCATATGATATGCCTTAATTTATATGAAATGTCAGAAAATGTAAATGAATAGAAAGAAAATGGACTGGAAGTTGTTGGGATCTGGGGGAGGAAACTGGGGAGTACTGTTAATAGGCTTAAGTTTGTGGCATGAAATTTTTCAAATTAGATTGTGATGTTTCTTTCATGATGATAAAAATATACTAAGAAGAACTGAATTATACAATGTAAAGGATGATTCTGTGATATATAAATTGTATCTCAATTACAAAAATTATATGAGAAGCTGGGTGCAACAGTGCTTGAAATTCATTCCAGCAACACAGGATGTTGAGTCAAGAAGATCACAAAATAAAAAATAAAAAGGCTAGGGATGTAGCTCAGTGGTAGGTTCAGTGGTGGGTTCAATCCCCATTACTGCCCCACTCAAAAAGAAAAAGGGAGAAAACATCTGTTATTTTAATGTTTTTACTATTAGTTGTGCCTGAGATTCAAACCCAAATATTCTAAGAAAGCACTGATTAAAGTATTTGATTAAAGGAAGCATTCTATATTCCACCAATTATACTATTATATGGTCTCAGGCTCAACTTAAAAGAAGGCAGATTCTATCCACATGACAAAAGATAGCTGTTATAAACTGGAGTCTTAAGATGGTAATTTTTGCTATACCAAATTACATCAGTTCGAAGTCAGGAACCATGTACTGCATTAGTGAAAGCAGTTTAGACCACCTCACAAACACAAATCCAACTCTCTTTTAAGTAGGAAATCCAAAGTTCTCAGTCCACAAGACTGGTGGATGCAATGACAATAGCAATATCCACATTTCTACAGACAGGCACTGCACTGCAGGCGGAACAGCACATCACCTCACTCTATCAGAAGCAGGTGCTATTGTTGCATGAATTCAACTAAAAAGGTAGCTGGATCATATCTGGAGAGAAGCTGCGATAGAGTGGATAGTGGCACTGTGGTCTGGCTCCAGAACTGAGGTCTCATCTCCTGGCTATCCTGAGGTTCAAAAAGACAGCCCTCCATCTCTTATATTCATGTGTCTGCAAGGTATACCCAGTTATACTCAGAGGCAAAGCCTGGTGGTGGGGCCCTCCTCCCTGGCTGCCAATGGCAAGGCGCTGAACCCAAGCACAAATTGCACAAGCTTCCTCTGTTCTGCAAGAACCCAGCTCTCTCTAACTCCTGACCCTCCTGAACATGGAACCACACCTGAGTTTTAAGCCCTCCTCTCTACCATAGAAACAGACCTGAACTTTCCTCTCTACTTTTCCAACCATACTCCACCGTTCTGTGAAATTCTGAGCTCCTCAAGGGCACCTTCCTCTTCTAGAAATATCTTCCTGAACCTAAACAGATGGTATTCAATTAAATGGTGGAGATATCGCATGCCTGCATTTAAGTTCTATCTCTGCTACAAGCTGGAAGAAATGTCAGGAGTGGGAGTCCTGTTATGTGACCTATAGTTAACTTCCTATGTCATAAACAAAGAGCTGATTCTTGAACACTGACTTTGGGAGAAATGTCACAAGCCCTAATCACAGACTCAAAGGAGCTTAGATTCTATACTAGGATTTCTGGAGGCAGAACCCTCCCCTTTTGGCAACCCGTGTTGGCTCCTCCCCTATTGTCTGCCCACCATAGGCCACTCAGGCCACCCAGGGCTTACAAAGGAGCTGTGTATGCTGTGCTGACTCATGGTGTTTCTGGGTGAAGACCTTCTCAGAGAGACCAAAGGGGTCATTTCTCACAGGAAACAGGGAGTAGTAGCCTGGGTCAGGCCAGGCTTTGAAAAACCTTGTGAACAACTGCAGGCAATGAAGAAAAAGAGGAAAGTGAATGCGTACGCAGCCCAGCCTTGCTCATGGAACTATTTTTCCTCCTGTCTTAAAGAATTTTGAGGGGCTGGGGATGTGGCTCAAGCGGTATCGCGCTCTCCTGGCATGCGTGCGGCCCGGGTTCGATCCTCAGCACTACAAACAAAAGATGTTGTGTCCGCTGAAAACTAAAAAATAAATATTAAAAATTCTCTCTCTCTCTCTCCCTCTCTCACTCTATCTTTAAAAAAAAAAAGAATTTTGATTGACAGAAGGACTCCCGATTCAGTGGCTTTCTTTGTTCATTTAAGAGATAAATACATTTGAAATGGAATTAACACAATATAAAAGAAAACCATTTTAAAGTACATGATTATGTGGCATTTAGTACATTCACAATATTGTGCAATCATCATCTTTAATTCCAAAATATTTTCAACTCCCCAAAGAAAGTCTCATACGCACTGAAAGGTGACTCCTCGTCTTCTCCGCACCCCCACTCCACCTTCCACAACAACCAACGTGTTGTCTCTATGAATTTGTTCTAGGTGTTTCACAGAAATGGAATCCTACAACATGTGACCTTTGCATCTGACTTCCATCTCAGCATAATGCTTTCACATTCACCCACACTATAGCAGAAATCAGTACTTCATTTCTTGTAATTGTTGATTAATATTCCATTGTATGTGTATACCATAGCTGGTTTATCAGTTCATCTTTTGATGAACACTTCGGTTGTCTTCATCTTTTGAGTAGTTTGAACAGTGCCCATATGAACATTTGTGGACAAATATTTGAAAACTCCTTTGTGTGTGTGTGTGTGTGTGGATAATGTGGGCTCACCAGTGTTTTCCACAGTAGCTGCACCATTTACATTCCTACCACCAACGTATGCGCGTCACCCTTTATCCTTCACGTGCACATTCGTCCCTTCCTCCTCCTTTCCTCAGGAAAGGCAGTCCCCACAGGACTCCCTGGCCCCGGATGTGAGGGTGGGAGAAGCCGCACCCGCGGTAGCAAGACTAGCGTCAGGCCGAAGCCTCCGCTCCTTTTCCAACCAAGAGGGCAGAGTGCGCAGGGGCGGGGAGGACAGGCTGCCACCTCGCTGAGCCACCGCGGCCATCCGTGTGATTCCACAGAACCGCTGTCCTTGTGAGTCCAACGCCCCCGTCCTCACCTCTATACCCCACTAAACTCAACAGCCCAGCTGAGGTCGGAAGGAGGCCGCTTTGCTGGAAGGCAGCCATCGAGGTTCCGCCGAGGCAGCGCGCGAAGCGCTCTCAGCTGGAGGTGCCGCAGCCCATCCCACTACCTCCGGCCCGGGGCCTGGGCGGGGCGGGGCGGGGCGGGGCTGCGCCAAGGCCCCGAGAGAGCAGCGACGACCCACCCCCACCCCCCGCCACGCACCTCCCGCCGGGGT